GAGAGAGAGAATATGCTATGATTACTGACCTTGGCAATATCCACATGGTAGTGATGAGAGCCAATATTGGCAGAGTGAACCAGACACAGCTTTCTTTTTTTCCACACAAATAGGACTTCATTAAAATCATCCGTCTGTTTTGTTGCTTGTTGTGTCTGCGTGTCTTTGATATTCAAGTGGATACAAAAATGTTTTTTTTTTGTGTGTGTGCATGCATTGATTCATATGTATTGTATACAGTCCTTACTGTGCAAGCACAACACCATCTCATGCACATACTCGATCTTTATCCTTTCTCACTTTTTTGCAGGAGATGTTCACGCCGGAGTGCAAGTTCAAGGAGTCTGTTTTTGAGAACTACTATGTGATCTACTCGTCCACTGTGTACCGGCAGCAGGAGTCGGGCCGGGCCTGGTTCCTCGGACTTACCAAGGAGGGACAAGTCATGAAGGGCAACCGGGTCAAGAAGACTAAGCCCTCGTCACACTTTGTGCCCAGGCCAATCGAAGGTATGAGAAAAATGTTTTAGGAAATCTTTAAAATGATCTTTTTAATGTTTGGCTTGTTCATTTGTGTAGTTTCTTTACTTCATATATTATAAATTGGGTATACTATACTGGTAATTACTTTGGAAAGCATTCCAAAAATTTGGTGTGACGTGGAAATTTTGTGTGAGTTATTTAGTTTTTTAGTTAGTCTTTAATCGATCACAATGAACATTTTGTAGCTGTTGCAGTGGACAAGATATTTCAGATTGAATTCACGTAAAGCACTACATTTCATCAAACAAACCCCAAGAAGGATACTGAGTAACTGTTTCATTCTTGCATTTAAAGTAATTTGGTTTGACAGATGACTCTCTACTTTCAGATATTACAGTATCCTTCAGCTTCAAGGAGAGTTTTCTAAGTAAATTATCTTGCAAAGACACTACTGTGCATTTACTGTGATGGATTATGTATCTGAAGCAAGTTTTAATGTCTCTGAAAGTTCCATTATTGAAATTGGTGGAACTGTGGTTGCACTGAAGATAGGAAAGAATAAACAATTTATGTTTTGAAAGAGATTGATTCAAAGTATACACATTTGCAGTTAGGCTAAATTCATGTTTGATATGTACAAAAAGTACAGATATTATAGGATCTGATGATAGTAATAGTTAAGGAAATATTCACTTTTTTGACAAGAGTTAGATGAGAATATCAACACAACTCTGATGTCTGTATGCTAAATATGAAGCTGCAACCAGCAGCTGGTTAGCTTAGCATAGCATAGCAACAAAATGGGTAAACAGACAGCTTGGCTCTGTCTTACACATCATAATGTTTCTTTGAAGTGTAAAAATGCCAAGTTGTGTTTTTAACACCACTTTTTATACTTTGGTTTTTGAATGTGAATGGTTTTTAAAGTGTATTTGTTTCTTTAGCTGTTGTGGGCACAGCTTGGTTTTTTAATGTCATATTTTTTCGTGAGAGCAGTGTTTGCTAGATATTATCAGGAAAACTTGTCAAGCACTGTGATAAAAAAAAAGCGCTGACATGGCTCTAATTTCCCGCCTTATCCCTCCCAGCCTGGTATAATTGTCCCTCCAGCCATACACCTGACCTTGTCTCTGTCTTCACATCCATCTCTTCAATCTGCTCTCCATTGTCCCCTTTCTGAGCTCCTCCTCTCTTTGTCCTCTCGTCTCCTCTCCTTCCGTCTCCTCTCCTCTCTTTACATCTCCACCACAGTTTGTATGTACAGGGAGCCGTCACTGCATGAGATAGAGGACAAGCACCGCTCCAGGAAGAGCTCAGGGACTCCCACCATGAACGGAGGGAAAGCTGTCAATCAGGACTCCACATAGCAGCGGGGGGAGGGGCTTCCAGCAGGGGGGAGTGGCCTCATCCTGACTCAGGGGGAGGGGCCAAAGGAAAACTCAACACCCCCGAAAATACGCATCCCCATCCCCTCTAATAAAAAAAGAGGGCGTTGCGACGAGGAGGAGCTATTACTGTACACCCAAGACAACAAAAACAAAAACTGAACTCTTGCCTGTGAAAACCTTTTAGATGAATTAATATGAAACCAGAGGATATATATATATATGGAAAAAAAAACATTTTCAATCAGGACTTGACCAACATTTTATGCAAAAAAAGAGAAAAAGCTGTGATAAACAAACAAAGGAATGGTGGTCTCTCTTCACACAAATACAAATATCTATCATTTCCAATTTATGCTGTGAAAAACAAGCTTTAATACATGTTCAATTTTCATACATTTCTTTTCTAAATGCTGTTGCACTCTCATATGCTTTATTGTGTTATTGTTGTCAGTAATAACTATAACATCATCATCATTACTAATCTGTTGATTTGAACATCCCAGTTACAATCATGGTTATTCTGACCTTTTTTTAGACTAAAGAAAGGTGTTTTTTTTTTCAATGACTCCCATGTTTTTCCTCTCATAGTTTGATATGGAAACAGAGTGCTTAGGGTGGGATGTAATTTACTCAGGTGTGTACTGTAAGTGTAACTAATGTGACTAATAGGATGGAGAGGGCTGTTTTAAATACTCTAACGTGAACTCCCCTGCGTTGTTCTGCTATGACAGGACAGAACTGATACAAGCAATATAAATAGAGAGCAGTCTAGTATGTCTCTAAATAATAGTAATAACAAGCTGACAACACATCTCTGTGGTTGGTGTGTTTGTCAGTAGAAGAAGTCTGACAAAGAAAGTTGTATAAGCAGGTCAAAGTCGGAATCAAAGGAAATCTGTTTTGATATAGCTTCAGTATACTCTTAACATTTGCAAGGATTCTTAGGTTTTAAGTAAAGAGATGTCCAAACTCGTCAAAAATGGCAAATAATAGTATTTTCTCCAAAAGCAGAGAGAAATATAACGACCAGCATCAGCACTATGAGCCATGGCCAAAAACGGTCACTTGACATTTGCACCTCAAGAAACACAAACCCCTTTCTCTGCTGTTAGCTAGGCTGTAATAACAACTCTCAAAATATAACTATATAACAGTATTCAGGCTTTTGAACTATATGGACAAATCATGAAATAATCCTTGATTAAAATACTTATTTTTAAGTGTAAGACAGGATGAAAGTTGCTTTGGCAGGCCTGGCAGTGAAGACTCTGTATGTGTTGACTAGTTTTCTAGAAGTTCTGCTATTTCTGTTCCTTTCATTGCGAATGCATGAGAGATTTCTCAACACTGGTGGACAGGGTGCCTGACTGTTTAATAATCCACAGACCTGACTTGTTGATATTTTCAATGCAAGGTCACAATCATTAAGACTTTCTCATCACAATGGAAGCAGAACGTCTCATTGAGGAAACCAGTTCATCTGGATTTAGCCAGGTTCGGGGAGGATGTCACCGTTTGGTTTCTCTGGCATGGTAATCCACACAGTCTCCATCCCCCCCCCTGGTTTTGTGACCCATGAAATGAGTCATTTGCTGCATTGTGGAGGAAAGCTTCTCTTTCATAAATCAACATGCTGACAGGGCTGTATAAACAAGGTGAATTGACTGGTACACCACGTACGCTGTGTACGCCGCATAGCTCATTCCTAATCCCCAATTAGTTTGTCTAACTCAGGAAGTCCTACACTTGTTCCCTGAATGGGGCCAGACATAAAGGCTGGCAGCTCATTGTCCAGCACCCGTTGCACAAAGCCTGGCCGCTGGTGTGGGGTTTAAGGAGGTCGGAATGGGGTCGGTGGTGTTCTATCATTAAAGGTGGTGTACAGCTAAACCTAGCCAGGTGAGAAAGGTTGAAATGGGAATTACTGGAGCCAAGACAAAGCATGAACTTCGCATGACTGAGTTGATGTTAGCTTGGTTTGATTTTGAGGTGAGAGCTAATAAAAGATTGTTTCGAGAATAGGTCCAAAACTTTTTTATGCAACATTTTGATCAGTATTTTAGCGAGAGTTTATAGCATCTCTCCTATATCTGGTTGGAAATCATATGCTAAGTTGGTGGTATGTACAGTAAATAGCACACATTCAGTTGCACAGAGCAAACCGCAGTGATATATCATCATGGATCTAGGAGGGCCTTCCACCTGGGGTCCCGGGTCCATAGCTGGTGCAAGTTACCTGCAAGAGCTAACGGTAGATTAGTTCAACTTCCACAGCACCTCCAGCATAACAGTGATACATACAGTATATTAGACGTGACACTGAAAGTCAGCAGGCAAGACCAGCATATATAGGTATCTTTTTATAGAGGTTTATATGGTGCAAATGAGATACATGTGGACTTAAAGCAATGCATGAAATTGGATGTACTCGATGTCAGCTGTTGACAGCGGAATGAGAGGATTTGCGGAACGAAAAGGATGTATAAAACAAGGAGGTAAAAATAGCTGATGTGAGAAAGCAGTAAAGGAGAGCACTTTCCGGGGGGGTTTATTGATGTATGAAAGGGGGATCAAAGGCTTTGGTTGTATGTGATATTAAGTATAATTTATTATTTTTATGTTTGCAGATGATTTCACTGCATTGGAACACGCTCATATATGCATTATGAATTGTGAGATGAAATAAAAAAAATATGCATTGATAATAAAAAATCAGAATGAAGTTAGTGATTGTTTAAGAATAAAGACTATGTTATCAAAAAACTTTCACCTACGCAGTGATTGAGTCAATGTGTTGTTGATCATGACTGACTGTTGTAATGTGTATTTCTTTTTACTAATGTCACTCTTTGCAACAACAAGAGAAGCAGCAGGATAAGCAGACAAACTAAATCCATCAACGTGGGTTTTTATGCGGTTCACATTCAGAAAATCCAATCCGCTTCCTCTATCAATTCAGCGGGGGTGATCTATCTTCTCACTAGCCTCTAAATCCGATGTGTCATTTTAGGATGGCGCTCCTTCGCCCTTAATTCTTCTGTTGTCATGGAAACAGACCTTCCGTGCCGTCTGCAAGGAGAATGAGGAGGAGGAAGAGGAGGAGGAGGATGATGAAGGCTACCCTGACTTTCAGGACGTGGCTTGTCTTCTTTCCTGCTGATGATGGCTGCAGCAGAGAGAACAGCAGAGTTGGGTTTGGGGTGGGGGTGGGGGTGCTTTAGGTTTCCTTCAGGTACACTAAAACTAAACAACTGAGCAATGTGCAGCCCTGCCTGCTGGGGGACAAATGTATAGGTATACTCACAATACCATAGACAAAGGGAGGGTGAAAGAGATACAAAGACAAAAAGATAGCAAAAAAAGTTGAAGGAAATTTAAGTTTTTCTCTCTTCATACAAACACATATTTACACTCACACACACCAAACACGTTTTTCTCGTGCACACTTCTTAACAATCCAATCTTGATTGCAATTTTACGTCTGCATTGTTTTTTCATCTTTACATCAGATGACTTCAAACAAAGCTCCAACACATATCTGAAAAAATTCTACAGACATTTTAATGGCTCTACGAAGAACAGCTGTGCTTTTCTCATAGAGCCATGCTAGGATTGGCTAAATGTTAATCCTAACATGCTGACAATGATTGAGTTAAAGGTCCAGTATGTAACATTTAAGAGGATCTTTTGAAATGCAATATAATATTCAAAGGTTTTTATTAGTGTATGATCACATGAAAGAATAAGAATAGCTGAAGAGACAAACCAAACAGTGGCTCTACATAGGGCCGTTCACTTTTTTCTGGCATCTATACGAGTGTAATATAAAAACTTATAGCCGCCAATGCACATACACTGAGAACAGACATGTGAAGTAGGAGATATCTTATATCCATCAGGAAAACTTTAGAAAAAAACCCTGCATATTCATAGATTCTGGTCTTTCTAATGAAGAAGAAAAAGTAGATTCCTTTTTTGTGGGAAAAAAAAAATATCCAACACACAGAATTGTTCCAATCAGACTATATACTGTATATATATATATCTTAATACATGTCTGGAAGGGATCTTTAACATGCTGAAGTAGGCTATAATGTTTACAAGGTCCAGTAGTGTGCTGGCATGCCAACATTTGCCAATTAGCTGGGGCTAATGTGAATGTCAAGATGTACACGTGATTGTTGAAAAATTTTAATTTTCACTAGGAAGGAATCACCAAAGTTATTACTCAAAATTACAAAATTGTAAAAAATGAGTGCAACCCCAAAATTAATCAATATGCTGTCATAGTCACTGCATCTACCCCTGTAATTAACTTTCACCAGGAGCAGAAACAAGTCAAGGCCAGCCATTCAGACTCCCATAGGGGTTGGAAGTCAAAACAGGGTCATCTGTTCAGATAAGGAGGGCATGGGCTGCAAACAGCTTGAAGGCCACTCCACTCTCCTCTCTTCACCTCTATTCCGCAGTTACAGCTGTGGTTGTGGTCCCTGCTACTGCTCTCACATCCACCTGTCCTCCCCCACCTTCCGTCCTCTCCTCCTGTGTGGAACAGGCAACCTTAGACTTCATAGCTGTATTCAAATATCTTCTGGAGTGCATATGTACTTAAATGTTCATAATAACCATAAAACAGTTGCAGTGATTTTTTTTTATTGAAATGATCTTCCTCTGTTTTCAGGTGTAATTACAGTAATATGGCATATGCATTAAATGCATTGTACCGTGAAACACATATATGTCATATCTTAAAGACGAGGATAAGAACATTAAAATGTCAAAAGAAAAGTAACTAATAGTTTAATGCAACATTTATCTCAATTTAAAACAACCTCTTTCAGAACTAGGCCCTATAACAACCTTCAAATACTCTTTGTGAGGTTAAGCTTGGCAATGCAAATTGTGCATAGGATACATGCCTAAATCAAAATAACCTTGATTTCAAAGACAGAAATCTGATCATGTAGCCAAAAATTATTTTAACCAACCAACTGGCCACTGCCCAAAGCTTCACAGCAAACTGGACATACAGGATAACCAAAGGAAGAGCTTAGTTTAGCGCAGTGGTTTTCAGAGGTCCTTTAGTGGGTCACCAGCAAAAGGAATACAATATTTGATCTTTT